TAAAGTATATAAAACATCCTTTCACCAGACACTCACCTCAGTCAGGTCAACTGCTGCAAACTTGGCAGTGAATGTTAAAGTATCGATGGATGAATCGACCTGCAGAGGTTTAGTGTTATCAGAAGATGCTGTGGACAGTTCTGCTTCACGCTTGCCAGTCTCTTGTAGTGACAGCACTGCTGGAGATGACAACTTGATGTCCGGCACCATGTCTGCAAACAAATCCAGCTCTGGGTCTTGCTGTACCTTTGTCTTCACCCTTATAGTAAACTCCTCCCCCAGACCTACTGAACTACTTTTTTGTGGCACTGTAGGTTTGGACTGGGGGTTTAAGCGGTTCTGTGATTTCTGAGAGTTCCTTTTCTCTTGAGCCCAGCTATTGTCCCATAAGGAAGTGGCCTCTGTCTTTGTTGACTGCCGCAGTGTTGAGCTCAACTTAAGGGGTTTAGAGGAGGAACCCAGTCTCAGTGGTTCAGGACCATGTTTCGAAGATGGGGAAGCAGCGCCCCCTTTGGGTGGTGCAGGGATGACTGAGTCTGATAAAGGAGCTGTGGGGGAGAGATCCGAGGTAGGTTCAGTGTCCTCAAAGTCATCCCACGGCTCCTCATCTGTGTTCTGATGTGTGATTGCCAGGCTGCTGACTGGATCTACGCCCTTTGAGGCCTGTATGTGGATCTGGACCGAATGCCCATCTCTATTCTCACTATCAGGGTCACTCCAGTCAGGCCAGTCTTCCACAGTGCCTTCTAGTCTGTCAGTCTGCTCTGGGCTAGAAGAAAGTTGGTCCATCTCACTGTCCTGATGAAAGCCATTCAAAGGCAGAGACATCTTTCTACTAACATCTGGAATATACAAAAAATAAAAATTATATGCAATGGACCTTAAATAAATGAACAAATTCATTTGAATTGATATTATGAAGGGAGTTTCTTACCCGATACTGGCTTGATAACCCTTGGTGTCTTGCTACCCGTGTGACCGAGGACTAAGCCTTCAGTCCCTGATGGTCTAGGGAATAAATTCAGCACTTTGGAGGGTTGGGCCATCTGAGGGTGGAAACTTCCAACTATATGGACAGGTGAGGCTAAAGAATAAAAGTAAAGTAAGATGAGAGTAGCTCACTTGACTGTAGTTCTTAAAGGATTACTAGAGTGACATTTCAATTTCCAAATCCAGATTTTCTAGTTTGAACTGGTAGTCTGACTAAACTAGTAATTACTAAACTAGTAATCTTCTTATTCTTATTCTTAGTTAGTGTATTGTCTGTCTTGTCTTAATGTTGGTTTAAAATGGAGCACTGTAACAAAAAATAATTTCCCCCAGGGATTAATAAAGTATTCTGATTCTGATTCTTTGGACGAGACAATAATGCTCACGGCATGCTAGGACCTATTTACTACTACACACTGCTGCAGGAATGCTTCCAGCATATAAAATGTTCTTGTAATGGTTACTGGTTGATTTTTAAAGATTACTTGTAAAATAAAGCATTTTATTTAAGGTTTTTATTTAGTAAGCTCTGTATGATGCCAGACCTTTAATGCACAATC